CAGCCACATAATGAAAATGACCCACAGCGAGCAGTGCGCACACACTGTCCATTCATCGTACACATGCCCGCTGCGATTAAGGTCTGTGGCGGTGTGTAGATACACAAAGCGTATGTGTGAGTGCCTGCAGAAGCCGGCTGAGTGGCTGGCAGTGGCGGGGTTACAGCAGTGAGAGGAATAAGGATGTTTGATGTGAATGAGGCAGCCAGTCCTCATTGTGGAAAGCTGAGAAAGTGCCACATGGGGAGAGTGGTTAGGCTTGTTTGAGATCATGATTTTCTGTGTGTCCATGTCTTATTTTGTTGACATCGCTGTGGGCTGTCAGCCATTTCCTCCTTCTCTGAGATGGTTCTGCTTTAAAGTTAAGGTTGTAGCTTTGCCACATACACACTTTAGAGGTCTGTGTAATGTGTGTGAGTGCAGTGTGAAGTGTGCTTATTGTACCTTTCCACGTGTGTTTTGTGTTAGTCTGCTCTCAGAGTGTGATGTGACTGATGATACATTAAGAGCTTGTTTTAAACTCAGAGAGAAGTAAAAGACTTGGAAGCCAAAAACCTTTCAGTACTGATATTTCTGCTTATCAAACCTGCGTTCGTTGTCTTTCTTGCTATGTGCACGCATCTAGTGTGTTGCTTGGATGGAGCTGTGTCACACAAATGTATATACATGCATATAGTTTTTGCATCTACACTCTGTCTCTGGATTATTCGGTGCCTGAGAGTGTTTGTATGCATGGCATTTCACTTCTTCCCCTTATGTGCAGCTGTGTTGCTTCCAGCTTTTGTGCCCTTGTATCTTCTTGTTCTTATTCTGCACACCCGTCCGTCTGTCTGTCAATGCTTCATTTTTATTTATTTTTTACTTTTTTCCTGCTGCACGGCTCTGTGCTATCGGTGCTTCCAGCTGGTGTGTGCTTGGCATCCTACTGTTTACTGTCCTGAACCACCGTTCCTGCATGCTCGGCCTTTACCTCCACCTGTATATATTAATCGCAGTTTAATGTTGTCAGGTAACAGGCATGCAAGTCAGCTAAGCCCAAGCACATTTAGACCCACATTGTCTCATCAATGCACCTGAAGGTTAAGTATCAGAGTAACTCTAACGAATACCTCTCATTTAACTTTGGCTGTACAAAGTGGTTTGCCTGGGCAATAGCATTGTTGCAACATAAACTGACAACAACTCTTTCCATTAAAATAATTGCCAGACATTCACATATCCATTTATCGTTTAATAGCCATAGGTATGTTATCATAGATTTGAACATTACGTTTTTGTTCCAGTGTCAATAAAATGTTATTGGACATTAATATCTGAGCAATATATTGTGCAGCTTAAGATGTACCTTCCATTTTTAATAAATGTGAGTAGGTGTTAAACGGTCTGGTGAGCAAGTTTTATTGCAGAACATTTAATGTTTGGACTGGAAACCTGGCACACTGCTCCAAGCCGCTGTATCCTGTCTGCTTTCATTGTGTCTCGTCCCGTTATGCCTTCCTGTCTTGCTCGCCTTGCTTTGCTTTGGCCTGTCTGCTCTCCCATGCTCTTGGTTCTGCTTTGTGCTGCTGGTGGCTGTGTGCTGGTGGCTCAGTGTGCTGTCTCCTGTGTGGGGGACTCAGGGATGAAGATCAGTACCTCCTGCGTCACTCCAGCCCAGCCCTGGACCACGACTCACCCTGTGGACAGCACATGCTGCTGGCACATTTGGAACACCAGGATAAGGAGCAGCTCCAATGCACCCTGGCCCGCCTGGAGAACGAGAACAGGTCTGTAGCCGGGAAATAAAGCTGTTAGAACTTTCTCGTCATTCCTTAAAATTCATGTGTGTTCAAGCACAATAAATCCTCCAGAATCCCGTCTTTTAGACATATTTCAACACCAGTTGCATCACATCCAAACACGTAATTTTAAACATTTGAAACGGTGTTTGATCTGATTTGCTTTTAGATATAATCGAGGCTAAGATAAAAATAATGTTTGCTGCAGAGACCTTAAAGTTTGGCTTAACGTTCAATGTTTATAAGTAAAGCTCCCCAGAAGCATTTTACACAAGTATGTTTGCGTGTTTATCTAGAGGTATTACACTCGATTCGGTATGTCTGCTGTCATTTGCAAACCTCCTGCAGCGAATAAACACATTCATACTCGAAATCCTTTGAACTGCCTGAAGAAAACGAAAAAAAAAGCAGCATTTTCTGTGCGCATACCTGAGCATTAAGCTTGTAAAACCACATATTGGTAACACGGAACCACTCGTATGTCAACCTTCAGTTTGTCCTGCACAAGGAAAACAAAGAGTCTATTACGAATGGTTTGGCTTTAAGTGTAAAACACATCTAAAACACAAGATGTTAATGCTTTTGAATGAGATTTTAGTTACTACAGGGGCAGATATTTTCCATAAATGAAGCAAATTCATTTTTCCTTTCCACTTAATTGGTTACCAGAGGCATCCTTTAGTTGAATGACTCATATGAATACATTTCCCTTGTCCTCAGTTTGGTTGTGACCTTTCTAGACACACAGCAAAACACAGCTACACACACACTCGTGCCCTTTGGGTGTCTGAAACCTTGACCTAGTTCAGTTTTTGCGTCTCTTGTTATAGCGTGCTCTGTCGTCCTTATTAATGACTAAAGTGGCTGCTTTAGCTTATTTTATAGGCTGTTTAGTGGTTTTTCTGATGCTTATAAGCAGTGTTGGGAAGGTTACTTTTAAAATGTATCCCACTACAGAT